AGTTTTGGTTTTTAAAAACAATTTAAGTTAAGCTAAATCAATTTGACTGTATGCATCTTATACAAAAGTAAATGTGGATATTTCAGCTCATCAGAGCCTTTCCACTTATTGTTTATTGTATTGCACAGAAATACAGCAGGGGGTGCTCTGGAGATCTGCTTTATCTGTACATTAAAATACAACACGTGGACACAACTTGTGTTTGTGTGTCTCAGAGAGGGCCCAGAAGAGGAAGCGGCAGACCCTGAGAATGCAGGAGGGCCGCTGGCGCCCGCAGCTGCAGGTCAGGCTGCTGTTGAGCGTCTTCAACGAGCCGCACAGCAAGAAGACCGCCACGCCAACCAAGGACAGCCATCACCCCCTAAAAGACCCTTCAGAGCACCCAGCGTGCCCTCACTATGTGCCTTGGCTATCCGCGCAACGGTCCACCTCATGACTGGTAAGAGTCACAAAACTTCACAGAACTGTGCCTCACAGCTTTGTTTGCTCGCTGCTGTTTGCTCACTCTCGACTCTGTGTCTCACAGCTCCCAGCATGCAGTACAGCAGCAGTCTAGCAGGTCTGACCCCAGAGCTAGCAGAGCTCCTGCTCAACCACATGTCTCATGAGAGGCTGCTACATCCACGCACCCTGGAGCTGTTCTTCGGCTGCCCGATCCAGAAGTTTGTCTTAAACAGCTACCCGTACTCCACCAATGAGCTCCTACGGCAGTTGCGGGCCTTCACTGCCCTGAAGCACCTGAGTTTAGTCAACTCACCTCTCATCACTGGTAAAACATTTTATATCTGGTAGTTTTTAGGCTTTTTATCAATTTAGTTGTCAAATTTCTGCAAAGTCTGCTCTTCAGTTTGTCCCTGTCTTTGTATTTATTTATTTATTTTTATTCCCAGACTCTGGCCTGTGTATCCTGTCCACCCTGGTCAAACTCCAGTACCTCAATCTGGCCTCCTGTAGTAAGCTGACTGACTCCTGCCTGCAGCATATCACAGGTTGGACACACACAAACATCACTGTTGACAACATTTACAAAACTGGATCTCAGAATAAGCTGTTCTTATTTAAGTAGTTTTATTCAACATACATATTTCCCTTCTGCTGATGCCTTTAAGGTTTGAAGAACTTGTGTTTCCTGTCCCTGGACCAGACCAAAGTGACAGATGCTGGGATGGTACTGTACCTCCAGTCAGTGCCGTCCTGCCTCTCTCAGCTAAGCCTGAACCAGACAGCAGTGACTGAAACCACACTAGCTGTGCTCCCCACCTCTGTGCCACAGCTGCGACTTCTCAGCATCAAACAGACTAAAGTACTTTATCTCTGTTAGCGAGGTCTATTCAGCTGGTGACACTGCTCTCATCTTCACTGATATTTACTCGACTTGCTGTGCGTTTTTCTTTCAGGTTAAGGATTTGACGGCTCTAGCAGCGATGTCCAGCCTGCAGACCCTCAACCTGGATGGGACAGGTGTGACTGAGGCATCTCTGGAGCACCTTGCTACCCACCCTGCCCTGACTTCCCTCACTTTGGTGGGAATCCCTGTAGCAGATGGCAGTCATGCCCTTCAGATCATCTCAGGTTTGTAGAGCATAAAGCAAAAGAATTAAAAGAATGAGGGTAGGCATGGAGTGAGCCTGCAGTATGAAAGTCTGTGGTGAATCTGTGAGGTGTCTACTTTACTTCTAGGTCTGAAGTTGACTCGCATCACCCTCCCTGGACGCCACTCTGTGACAGACAGCGGGCTGTCATTCCTCTCCGGACTGACTCTGCTCTCAGAGCTGGACCTGACAGACTACACACAGGTTACAGACCAGGGAGTCAGCCACCTCTCCACCTTGACCAGGTCCTTTCCACACTCACTGACGCCATCATATCAGGTGTTTCCTTGCGATTAAAATGCTGACAGGAGTTTTGTGTTTACTTTGTGTAGATTGAAGAAGCTGTCACTTAGCAACACTCAGGTGACAGATGCAGGGCTTCCCTCCCTGCGATGCATGCAGGAGCTGCAGGAGCTCTGTTTGGATCGGACTGCAGTCACCAGCCGAGGAGTGGCCGACCTCATAACCTGTCTGCCGCACCTTCAGGTGACTATCCCAATAAGTACTATCCAGGTGTTGCTTTATCCTTGTGCGAGTGCAAGTGTAAATAGTAGCCCTGTGATAGATTGGTGACTTGTGCCCTGTGACAACTAGGATAGACTGACTCTGAATTAGATAAAGAGAATGGATTTACAAAATAGACTTAATATTTTATTTAGTGTGACTTAAAATGAGTGTCTGATCTCATAAACTTACCAGGTAGGTGATTGTTGAGGTTAAGTCAGAGAGCTGTTTTGTTACCTTTTGTAACCACATTTATGATCATCTGGTGGGAATTAAAAAAACAGGCATTTCTGAACTGGATTCACTCTTCAAACACAGAAGCTACATCTGTCTTTATACTGTCTATGATTGAATGTGACATCGATCTATGGTACATACATGTTTGATTAAATTAAACCATCCATCCATCCGCTTCCGCTTATCCTTTTCAGGGTCGCGGGGGGCGCTGGAGCCTATCCCAGCTGTCATAGGGCGAAAGGCAGGGTACACCCTGGACAGGTCGCCAGTCTGTCGCAGGGCTAACACACAGGGACAGACAACCATTCACACTCACATTCACACCTAGTGACAATTTGGATTAATCAATTAACCTATCCCCACAAGCTGCATGTCTTTGGACGGTGGGAGGAAGCCGTTAAATTAAACCATGTTAGTAAAGTCTGTGTGTCTGATCATCGATGTGATTCTCATTTCACAGTTTGACACCCAAGCTGTCTGACCAGATAACCTGCTTATTTTATACTAGCTGGGCTTCAATTTATTATTTTAGCATCACAGTTAAACTCTTTTGCAGAATGAAATTGATCATTGGGCATTCAGAGTAGGCCGAAATCAAAATGTAAAGACCAGTTTATGATAAAAAATATTTGATGCAGAGGTTTTAATATTTTGCTATTTTTCTATTTTTTTTTCCAGGTGTTGGGGTTAGCCAGCACTCAGGTGGGGGACAACGTGGTGAGGAAAGGTCTGATCCGCTGCAGTCAGCTTGTTAAACTTAATCTCAGCCGCACGCGGATTACAGATCACGGTAACGTCCAGCTCTAAGGTGGTCTTTGATTTTATAGTTTTGTTTGCTCAGATGAACAGACCCAGTATATGTTGTTCTCTTCCTTTCAGGTCTAAAGTTCCTGAAACAAATCCACCTGGCTCAGGTGAACCTGGACGGGACCGGGGTGAGTCTGATGGGAATTGCTAGTCTCCTCTCCTGCACCAACATCAACAGTATTCGGGCCAGTAACACTCGCATCCTTTCCCCTGACGATGTCTCAGATGAGGAGTTGGAAGCCCAGTGAGCATCACGAGTTTCGGCTGCCCCTCTGAGATGCTGCCTCCAGGATCATCTGGGCAAAGCATAATTGATGAAACACTCCTCCTACTTGCACTGTTTCAACCGCAGCTAGTGCCACTAATCTGTCAATCATGCGTGCTGAGTTGAAACCTTAAACAGGAGCGTTGTGTTCAACAGCTGTTTTTTCTAACATTTACATATACAGAATTAATCATTATTTAATACTCTGCAGCCCCAAACGCCACCTGAAAAACTTTATAGCTTTATGCGCAGCTTTACAGGTTGGAGCAACCTGTGTTTCTCCAGGGGCCTGTACTACGAAGCAGCTTCAACATACCCCTGGAGATCTTTTCCTTATCTGGCTTCACTTTGCGCCAGCAGTCAGGCTAAATGATCACAAGAAGGTGGTTGTTAACTGGAGAAGTCCACCCAGGATGTGTCTGTCTCGACATAAGCACGTTCACGTGGCTGTGAAATATGGATGGGTGTCCTGGCAGCAGAGTGACATGTTCTATAAAGATGGTAAAAATGTAATGCTAGAAGAATGTGAAGGAAAAAAAACAACCACACAGCGACTCCAGCCAAAGCAACACTACTATATTACTGTAGTTTAGCCCCTCTTAACCCAGGATGAAAAAAATGGCTGTAAGTTATTAAACTTTTTAGTATTATAGCTCTGTCAGGTAAGGCCTGCATCATGTCACCCCAGTAAGAAGGAAGCATCTTTGTAACCCTGAAGCTTCGCATTACAGACATCAGGTTGGAGCCAAGTGGCAGAAATATACTTTATGCTGGGAATGTACAACAGCATGCGATGACTAACAGACTTTATCTAAGGTATTAAATGAGAATCTAAACAACAAAGCCAGTTAAACCAAACACGGTTCAAATGTTTTAGAGGGACATGAAGGCAGATAAATGTCTTCCACTGATTATTTGCGTTGAAATTAACTTTCTTTAATTTTGAAGCTGTATTCAAGTCATACTGGATGTAGCAGTAGAAGTAATTGTTTTTTTTTTTTAGTTTGACCGTTTGAAAGTAGTATTTGTATTGTTAGTTGTGATTAGGCAAGAGTTTAATAAAAATGAGTCACCATACAGTGTAGAATACTGGAATTAGCCTAAAAATTGTATGGCTAAATTTGATGTGAATGCAGCTTTTTAAGCTAAAAACAAACAAAAACAACCCACATTTAAAAAGGTAAAAACACTGAAGTCAAGGTTTTTATAACTCAGCCTGCATGGATGTTAGCTCTCATCACCTGAAACTAGTTATTTTAGCTGCATCCTGGTAATGCACTGACCTCCGCTTTCTTTTATAAGTAGCCCTCTTATTATCAATTATGCCAATGTTTTAGTTTTTTTTGGAAAGTTTAGCCATTTTCTGCTACATCAGTGAGCCTCATTCAGTGCAGTGTAATGGCTGTAATATAACATATCTATGCAGCCATGGGGCTCACTCAGGACCCAAAGCAACTTCTTTAATCCCTTCCAAGCTTTTTTCCCCTGTTTACACATATGTAAAATAGTTTATTTTCCTTAAAAGCTTCTGTTTTTTTGGATACAAACACTGTATTCGTTACAATTAACAATAAAGTCTTCTCAAAGGAAGTTGCTGTTTTTTAATGTTCCGTTTATTCAGACAAACTTATTGCATTACATTGTTAAATAAGGCAGAACTGTAATTTTACATGGGGGGAGAAAGAAGTCAATTTTTTAAATATAAAATATGACCTAAAAGCTGCTGCATACATGTTGGGATAAACAGAACGTGGAAAAATAAAACTTTCCTATGAAGACAGCACAATGGAATGCATTCCAAAATGCACCGAGATGCTTCGGGTGAATCAGCCAATCAGAACAGCGGAGGGGGTTTGGGTCATGTTCAGCACGGTGCAGCACTGTCAAACCGATGGAAATACAGTACAACATGTACAAGAGACCGTTTTAGTTCTGGCTTGGACGTTTCCTGCTCATCCCTTCAGGAGTTCGCAGGTCAAATCTGTGATGAGATAAAGGAGTGGCTCAGCATGAAGCTCCTCTAGATGTCATGTGCCTGCTGTTTTTCGATCTTTGATTTCAGATGCTCTTTGTATGCCAGGATGTCTCTGTTCCACTTTGTGATGGTCTGCTTCTCACAGACCCAGATCTCTTGAGCCACCTGCAGGAAGGGAGACCATTAGTACAGCGACACTTCTAATCAAGGTCTAATTGATTGCTTTAAGTGATCAGTCCATACCTGCTGAATTAGCCTGAAGTCGTGGCTGACTAGCATCATACCACCCTCGAACTCGTTGATCGCTTCTGCCAACGCATCAATAGTCTCGATATCCAGGTGATTAGTAGGCTCGTCAAGGAACAGCATATGAGGGTTCTGCCAGGCCAGCCAAGCAAAACACACTCTGCACTTCTGACCATCTGACAAATTTCTGATCGGACTGACCTGGAAGATGTTTCAAATGTCAGAATGGTAGAGAGGAGACAAAATTAATAGTAGTTCTTTGAAAGTATCCCCTTCCTACCTGCTGTTTCCCAGTTAGACCATAGCGACCGATGATCTTCCGCATCTCCTCCTTTTCTTTGATCTCAGGGAAACACTTCATCATGTACTCCAAAGGAGACAAGTCCAGCTCAAGCTGCTCAGTCAGGTGCTATAGAGAAAATTTTAAAAACCCACACGTTTATCTTTAACTGTACCAGCCACCACCAGTGTCTAACGCCATGAATCAGATGGAGCCTGTGCAGTATGTTCAAAAGATTTGTTTTACCTGGTGATATCTGCCAATCTTGACATGAGAATGTTTGCGGATCATACCATCAGTAGGTAGGAGCTACAGAGACAAGAGAATAAACCTCATCACTCTGAAATCAACTGGGGGTAGATCTAAGCTGATGATAAAGATGCCTTACCTCTCCCATAAGCAGCTTCAGAAGTGTAGATTTCCCAGCTCCATTGGGTCCCACCAGAGCCACTCGCGTGTCCAAGTCAATACCAAACTCCAGGTCTTTATATATGTACGGCTAAAGGAAACAAAAATCACTAAGTGTGCCAAATAAATCCATATTTTAACAGGAGGGAAAAATATAAATGCATTATACTCACTGTATTCTCACTGTACTTGAAGCTCACATTCTGAACCATGATAACAGGAGGAGGAATCTTCCCACAGGGAGGAAAATAAAATGACAGAGTCTGTGGGAAACAGGAAGGGTTACTGCTAAGTTGGTAGGTTTCACCACTAACCACAGTCCCTAAAACACATACATTACTGATCCAGAAGTTGGAAAAACAACTGCCTGGCTGCAAGCTGAGCAACAGTTTCAAAGGTTGTAGAATAGGAGGCAGAACATTCCCTCTTGTCAAATCAGCTTTCATATTAGATTCAGGAAACCCTCTTCCTGTTAAAGGGAACTTCTTCCTTCCCACTGTCACCAATTGGAGCTCCAAGAATAATCTGATTGACTGGGTTCTCTCCCCGATATTTCAGGCTCTTTACAGTTTAAACTGGCTTGTGACAACCATTGTTGTGAACTGATACTATTAAGTTAAAAAAAGAGAAGAAAAAAAAAAAAGAGATGAAATTTAATAGGCCACAGTTACTGTACCTTGTCATTCACGACTCTTTCAGTCAAGCCTGATGCAACCATCTTCTGCAGAGTCTTCTCTTTGCTCTGTGCTTGTCGTGCCAGTTTTGCAGAGCCGTGACCAAACCTGGCTATGTAGTTCTAGAAAATTGGGATACAAAAAAGATAATTGAGTGCAAATGTTACTGTGTGGCTATAGCAACAGTAACTGCTTCATAAAAGGATGCCTAAGTCTCTGTACCAATCAGGCAGTGACACGTGGCCACATGATGTCCCTTTTTTACCTTCATGTGTGCTATCTGGTCCTGTTCCCAGTTAAAGCGCTTCATCTGGTTCTCTTCCAGTTCCTGTCTGGTCTTCACATACTGGTCATAGTTACCCTTATAATGAAAATAGATTTGCACCGTCATCCAACAGGGTGGCACACATATATTTAGTAATAGCCTGCCTCTGGTTTCCTTATTCAGCATTATGTGATTACATGTATAGCAATCTATTCATGATACTTGGAAGCCTACAAAGCATGCTCAGGGTGTTTTCTTTTCTGGCAGTCACTTCAGCTGCATGCCCTTACCGTGTAGTACTTCAGTTTCTTCTGATGCAGGTGGATGATATTGGTACACACACCGTTCAGGAAGTCTTGAGAGTGTGAGATGAGCACGAGGATTCGCTTAAACCTGACAAAAACCATCAAGTTGATCAAAAATGAGTCTTAATCCATATCCGACTTAAATGAAGGAAGCAGAGGGAAAACTTACGATTTAAGCTCCTCCTCCAACCACACGCAAGCATCCAGGTCCAAGTGGTTAGTGGGCTCATCCAGCAGCAGCATGAAGGGCTTGATGAACAAAGCCCTACAAAGATGTCAAACAGCTGAATTTAAAGCAATACTGATAGTTTGTTTAGATTAACTCCTCAAATCTAAAGCTCAGAACTAGTCTTGAATGCTTGTGCTTCCACATTTTAAAATTACAAAAAGCCCTGTGCTTTGTGTGCGATGGATGAAGATCTTCAGGATCAAAGATCTTTAATTGGTCTTTCTGTACTTTGACATTTACACCAGGACATATATCCAACTCCAGCAACTGTGTCTGAGTGCACACACAAGTAATATGAAATGTGTGCTTGAAGCACCTTTATTATGAAATGAGCAAAACAATAGGATTGTTGTTTTTGGTTCAATATTATAGTGAATTTGAATATCAATTTCACACTAGTTTATCTCCTCTCCACATTATAACACAATATTGTATAGGCAGGGCACAATGAAGATCAAGAGACAGGAGAGATATTTTACACAAAACAGACTGAAATGTTAGGACTTAATACCACTCTGGCTATCATGCCAATACCCTATTAGTCATCCAAATGATTCCATTGTCAAACCGGAGATGCTAGAACCATGATAGTCCCCAGTCTGTGTCACTCACACCAGATCTACTGAGACCACTGTTGCGTTTCTTGTATTAGGGCAACACGTTACACATCACAGAGGGTGTACCTTAATGGATACATTATCACCTCATCCCCCTCCCTGTATTGGTTATCGTGACTACACAGAGGAAATTATAACTTATGCCCACTTTAGTTTCCTGTATGGTAGTGAAGTCAGGACACAATGCTACAGTTTGCTTTTATCGTGTGTGTTTTTCTGTCATTTGGACAAGGGACACAGGATCAGTCGAAAGCTGGAGAGACGAGGATGACCGTAACTCAGTGGTACAGTACTATACGAGCTGTGTCTACCTGGCCAGAGCAACACGCATCCTCCACCCTCCACTGAAGTCCTTCAGTTTCTTCTGCTGCATCGCAGTGCTGAAACCCAAACCGTGGAGGATCCGAGAGGCTCGCATCTCCGCCTTGTCTGCATCCAGCTCCTCCAGACGCTCATACAGCTCCATCAGCTTCTCACACTCAGCTGTTTACAAAAAAAAAAGAAAAAAAAAAGGCATTTATAATATAGCTAAAGCATAATTAGAGAGATTTTTCAACTTCCTGCAGTTTATTTGAACACTCACAGTCTTCATGGGCAAGTCTTTCTGCCTCCTTCTCCAACATGATCCTCTGTTCATCCACCTCCATGACACACTGCAGAGCAGTCTTTTCGCTGGGGGCCATCTCTCGGGTCAAGTGGTAAATATCTATGTGCTCTGGAATGGGAATCTCACGATGTCCGATGGCTGACAACAGCATGGATTTTCCTGGCAGAAAACGGGAAAATAAATAAATAAATAATAGAGAGAAAAATGTTTTGTGGGATGTGATATAAGAACATTTGACAAATGCAAGCTACACAAGGAAGTGTAGCAGAACCAGTGTTGATAAGAGATTCCCTACTGGCCACTCCCATGGGCCTCAGGTGGGCCATAAAGCTGCCAAGATTTCTGCTTCAACTTTCTAATGCTTTTACACCCTACCATCTGATGTGTCAGTCACCAGCATCTTTCTCTCATTGGTACTTGCTTCAAATCCTTAAAACTCAGTAAGGTTTAATTTGGGTTCCAACCATTTCATGTTGTCATTTCCCTGTCATTGGTTGAAGCCTAATGTCAACTTTATATAATTCCTGTAATATGAACCCTTTAATATCATCAGTTATTCAGGTTTTTCCCTTTGGCCTAAAGGGCCAGATGGCCAAATGAAATACTAGGTTTTGAAACAGCTGGGTTTTTTTTTTCCTTTTGGTTTCTAATGTCTGTGTGTTTAAAGTCTTAATAGAAACATACTGCTCCAGGATAAATTAGTTACCTGTGCCATTAAGACCAATGAGGCCATAGCGTCTGCCTGAGTTCAGCTCCAGGCTGGTGTCTGCAAGCAGCTCTTGACCATGGAAGGTGAGCGACAGGCTGCTTATATGGACATCAGTGCTGTTAGGGTGGGAGGCAAGAACACCCGTCACTGCCCGGGCCTCCGTTTTCCGCAGCTCAAACTCATCCAGCTCCTTTGTCAAATTTTCAACACCTATCAAATATATTTAAAAAAAACAAAAAAAAAAAACAAGAGAGCTTCAGTTAGAAAATTTACCACAGGCTGACAAATCCAGTGAGCAATCAGTGCTTTTCCTCAGTCATCTTCTCACCATTGCTCTCTGCTCCATTAAGCTGGGCCTCTTGTTGTTCACTCTCCCCATTTACTTCTTCAGTTTTCTTGGTGCGCTGGCGAGCTTTGGCAGCCTCCTTCTTCTTTGCTGCTTTCTTCTTAGCCAGGTCAGACGGCATGGTTGTGCAGTGCTACATTATAGGAAAAGAAAAACACAGAAATGATATGGATGAAGAAGAAACTAAGACCAAAATAGAATCGCAGTGTGTCAGGAGAATCGTGATCATAGGTTGTTTAACGGTTTCTCAATTTTCCAATTGGTCTTAGTCTACCAGTTAAATGTCAGAATATAAATAAGGGTAAAAATGACTAATCGCTTACATAATGAGGCGCCAGGACCAACCTCGGTACACTTGCCTGTTTACCATAATGTTAAAAATGTGCCGGTAATTGAACTCACCGTATAACACCATTTTACAGATTACATTAAAAAGTAGGCTAACTTTGAGTATAAAGGCCTAAAATGTCTAAGGACAGCTAAATGACAGTAATAGCGGGGATAATGCTCCCTCCCCAAACCCGCATTTTGTTTCCTTTCAGTCCCACCTGCCCGCACGTTGGGCTTTTTGCGGTATAACGCATGATAGCATAGCTGTTAGCAGCCTACACGTCACACTTTGTCATTTCACAGTTAACCAACCATAATAAATATCATGGTCTAAGGAGCCCAGAGTGTGAAACATAAAAAGTAAATCGTAATAGTTTTTATAAGCCGGCTATTTAGCGCGTTAGCCCCTTAGCTAAGCTAACAACGGTAGCCAGGCCTGAGCAGCTAAAGCTAACTTGACGCAGGGCCCCAAGTAGCTTCGAAAAACTCTCAAATCGGCTAACTAGAGCTCACCCCCACATCTGTGTTTATCTTAAAATAAAACCGCTTACATGTCATACAACCGTGGCAGCTCTCATACAGTGTTATTCCCTCTCTTACCTAAATAATGAACCGCTGTTCTCCTGAACACACCGACAGTCTCGTGTCCACTTTCGCCGGGTGGATGTAGCCGCTCGCCAAGCCGCCAGACGGACCATATATGGTCAAGGAGGGCGGTGAAGATGTAAGTTCCCTCCTCTTCTCGTGGGACTGCAGTAAAAATGTCCCCTTTACCCATCAACTGAACCTTAAATTAACTACTAAATAAGCCAAATTTATATATTTCTTAGGTAGAACTAAAGAGACGGCTTATGAGTTGAAAACTGGCACTGACTAATGGGTAGATATTGTATTTATGAGGTTTTGCCATCCTAGTAAGGCTTCTTTTGTCCTCTTATCACTAAGATGTTGTGTTGATACGTATCTAACACATTCGTGCGTTCAATGTGATTTTCTAGGAGGAATTTATTTTTAAGTACTGCTTTCACTAAGAAGAGATCTGCCGGTAGCTGCTCAGTCGGGGGGTGATGCTGCGGCAGCACTCGGCGGTCGGTGATGAGGTTGAAGAGGGACGCTGTTTCAGCGCTGTCTGTGTGGCACTCGGATTTTTTGAGGAAGTCAGGAAACTGACGGAGATGGGCGACAATGTGCACGGCTGTGCTTCGTAGCTTTCCCCCCCGGTATGAGCTGTGTTACATGGGATCTCCTTCGAGTCGGCATTCGTGGAGATGGATCGTCGTTTGTGTACGGAAACAACGGACTCGACGCTAGCTCGCTAGCTCGGCTCCCTAATGCTTTCCTCTGGTGGAAAACGATACTGTGGAGTTCATACTTCCGAGTATTCTCGCTTCGGGTTGTCTTTTATTACTGGTAACCAGATAAACGGTTAACTTTACTAGTTCATCGTCTAGCTGCATTAGTTAGCTGACTTTGGCTTCTAGCTAACGCCATCCCAAACTAGTTAAGCTAATTAAGGTAACGGTTAAAAAACCACCAGAGTAACGTTACACAATTTTTATGACAACGACATTTCTGAGTTTTTCTTCCCTTTTTGTTATCTTAAAATTTTGACTCGCAATGACTGTTAATCATGCGAAAATATCTGTATGCATTTCATCTTTCAGATGAACAAAGTGCTTCATTCCGGTAGCTTTACAGTTTGGTCATCTTCCGTTGTGACGTTGGATTAAAAACGACATTTCTTGCATTTGTCAAACAAAAAAAAAACATTTAAAAAGTGCTGTAACATGTAACGTTTAGATTTAATCATTCGTTATAGGCTGAGTAGAAACTTCACTACCTCGCTGAAAGGGACTGGGAACAGACTTTAATTTTAAGCCAGTTTTCTGTCATTTTCTTTACTCATTTCGGTTCAGATTTATCAAAGACGTGTTAACATATGGCAGGAGTGTTGGCACTATCAGTGCTCTAGTTTTTTGTTGTTGGGATTTTTTAAAAAAAATTTTTCCCAGCACAGCCACAATAAGTGTAGCTCATAACTGCCAGGGATGCGTCTCTCCTCATTTTTGGCCCTGTTCAGGCCTGCTTTACCCCTTATCCTGGGGCTGTCTCTTGGATGCAGTCTGAGCCTTTTGATGGTGTCCTGGACCCAAGGAGACACGGAGGACTCCTGTGGAGATGAGCTGGGCAATGGCAGGCGGTTTTTGGGTGGGGGAGAGGGCCACAGAGATTCAAGAGATGGAACTGGAGACGCAGACTTTCAGCCACGCATAGTGCCCTATCACAAGGACCCAAACAAGCCGCACAAGAAGGTCCTCAGGTAAGTGCGGGAGGTATGGTCCCTGTTTCCAGGTGCTTAAAGAAGGATCACAGGAAGCATTGCTCGACTTTTAATTGAAAGAAGCTGGAGACTTTTTCCACACAGTGTGGATTTGCATTTAGTTAATTCCCCATTTTACATTCTTACATTTAATATCCCCCTGCAATGCTCTCATTGCACTGAGGGGGGTACAGAGAATAAGTGGCCTGTAGATTACAGATTATGCCACAAATTCCTTCAGAAAACTCACTGATGCAAAGGATTGCATCCATTTTCTTTTTTCAATTTTATTTCTTATCTTTTTTATTTATTTCTACTGGCTCTGATAGTCATCCCATAAGGATGATCAGGTTTTCTCTGTCAGTACAACCATTCCTTGGAATAATCTCCCAGATGAGATCTGATTGGCCAGCTCACTGTGGTCTTACAAATGCTTCTTACAGACATATTTTTAAAAGCAGGCCTCTCCTGTGCTTACACTTTTTATTTCTATCAGTCCTCTTTAATTATTGATATTTACGTTCAATTTGATGTTTCATTTGCTTTTTTCCTTTTTTCTGTTGTGAAGCACTGTAATTATTATTGTCATTATTTAGCAGGGTTGCTAATTTTGGAGGGGGGAGATATAATAGAACACCTCATCGATGGGATTTTGTGTACAAATTTAATCCTACTATCATTGAATTTGTTCTTTTTACAGAGATGATGAATTTCAAGCAAATTCAAACTTTTAGAATTTTATGTGGAACTTTAGGTACTCTTTTGAAACTCCTTAAAGTAGCAGGACCTCAAAACTTAACTGACATAGCTTAAGTAGTTCTCTAGATATAGTTGTGTGTAAATGCCCCGACAGAAAATACTGCCCATAAAAGGCTTAAAAATACCACTGACATCATTGCAAAAATATATATTTTATATAGTGTTATTTCAGCTCATTTACTGGTTCTTTTGAAAACATCTTGCATGCTCATTTTTACTACTTAATAAAATGTATGATTTACCAAGCCATTCCTAGACGTGAAGGAGTCAAGGATGCTTTCCAGGGATCATCTGCATACATTTGGATATTAACATTTTGGGATACAATAGGTAGATTATTGCTATAAAGTGATAATAAAAGGGGACTTGGTACGGAGAAGTGTGGGACTCCTGTAGAACACGCAAAAAAAAGGAGATTTGATAACATCCATAGCATAGATTAACATTTTCTGCAGAAAAATTATATAGTGCCAATTCAGATAAAATAACTTGGTATCAAATTCCTTCTTTAAATCCAAAAAGACACCACCTACACAAACATTTCTATCCAATTATCTTTTATTTCACAGCCACTTAGTATCTGCATCACATTAGTATCTTGTGATGGAAACAAGTTCACGCTTATGAGAAGATACTTTTTATGCATCGGTGTTCTTGCTGTTTGCTGTAATTGCTCCCTCTTTGCCCTCTTTCTTCAGAACACGATACATCCACACTGAACTGGGCATCAGAGAGCGACTCCTGGTTGGCGTGCTCACTTCTCGGGCCACCCTCAACACGCTGGCCGTAGCGGTGAACCGCACAGTTGCCCACCACTTCCACCGGACCTTCTTCTTCACAGGCCTGCGCAGCCCCAAGGTGCCTCACGGGATGACTGTGGTTGCCCATGGCGACGATCGCCCGGTGTGGCTGATGTATGAGACGGTACGCCACCTCCACCAGCACTACGGCTCGGAATACGACTGGTTCCTATTAGCCCAGGATGACACGTACATGCAGGCGGATCGGCTGTCGGAGCTGGTGGGCCACCTCAGCGCAGGTCAGGACCTGTATATGGGCAGGGCAGAGGAGTTCATCGGTGGTGAGGAGAAGGCACGTTACTGCCACGGAGGCTATGGCTACCTGCTGTCCCGCAGTCTGCTTGCCCGTCTGCAGCCCCATCTCGACACCTGCCGCAATGACATCCTCAGCGTGAGGCCTGATGAGTGGCTGGGCCGCTGTATTATCGACTACCTGGGTATGAGTTGTGTGGAAGTGCACCAGGTAAAAACACAGACTTTGAAATAAGTAGTTTAATCAGTAGGAGGATTGTCCGCTATATTAATATTTATATGTGCATGTTTTTCGCAGGAGATGACCTACCGTTATTTTGAGCTTGGGAAAAATGCAGACCCAGAGCGTGAAGATAGCCCAGAGTTTAAAAATGCCTTCACAGTGCATCCTGTGTCTGACCCAAATCTCATGTATCGACTGCACAAACGCTTCAGCCACATTGAGCTAGAATGGATTTACCTGCAGATCCAGCAGCTGCAGGTTTGTAATACAGGTTTTGTTTTTCGCTCCTATAAACATTTTTTTCTGCCTGACTCATCACTTCTTAGTCAAAATTTAGTATACAGTTTGTTCTTATTTCACCACACCCTCTTCAGGACCTGAGTCAGTAATTCCTGACTGAAACAATATTTATATGCCAGAAAACCAAGAGAAGGGATGTGGTGTTGTGCCGAGTATGATCTGCCTGAGAAACCTTATGTAACTAAAGTAGCTGCTAATGACAGTTCATTAGAGTTGTTTTGACTTAAGGTTAAATATAGCTTACCGCACCACAGAGCTATAAAATAAGTCATGACTTTATTAGACATAACTTATTGTTATAGCTAATTTTTGTGTATACTGGTTAAAGCACAAGGAACACTTGATAGAGTACAGTACTGTGCAAACGTTTTAAGCCACCATTCATTTACTTACAGTTTACTACAAAAGTGGGAAATACTGCAGCATGCAAACATACATGGAAATATAGTATAAGGCAAAAACAGAGTTTGTACAATTCTAATGGCTTTTAATGCTTTTAATTCAATTACAGTGTGGTTGGAATCATGGTCATGCTGAAAAACCAAACTGCTGCCAATTAGATATTTTCCACATGATACTGTATGGTGGATCAAAACCTGATGGTACTTTTTTGTGTTCATGATTTGACAAGATCTCCAACACCACTGGCTGAAATGCAGTCTGTATATATTGACAATGATTTAAACCAAAAATGTCAAATTTGGATTCATCACTCCATAAACTGTTTTCAGTTCGGTTATTGTGTAATTTGGCATTTCCTCCCTGTTTCTCTTCCTTAATCAGATGGATAATCAAAAAAATGACCTGTGACATCCTTTTCCAAATCAACTTCGCTCGATTGTGATGGAAAAAACTGTGAGGGAAGGGCCGTAAAAAGACTTGGCTTAGACAAGGCTATTTAATAATTTCATGATGGATGTTGATGACAAGTGTCTGCCCATCTTAGATACTTTGCCCAACATGTTCTTACCATCTTCTTTTCTGCAGGTCATATAAAAGAACCACGGGGGAAAGGGGCTGCATTTTCAAA